TTATGTGGTTTTATTCGAATCAATCGAAGCCATCCATTCGCTGTACCTGCGCATCAAATACCCTTTTCATATTTCCAAGAAACAAGCTGTCTTTCTGTTTCGTAATCCCATTCTCGTTTCTACTGTTACAAACATTGAAATGTGTTTGCGATCAGAAGATGGAAATAATTTTAATTAAACAATAACTATTTTCTTTGCTCTCGTTGAACGAGTTGACTTGATCGTATCTAAAGTAACACTCGTTCCATCTCTCGTCGTTGTTTCGATAAAACATCCATGTATTATTCATACACCAGCGTGGCAACAGGATTTTCCAGCAAATTTCGTGATGCACGAAAACTCGAGCTGTCGCGTGCATCGAGACGCGACGACGAAACACGTAGGCCCACGAATTTCACTTTGAATCATTTTAAAAATAAAGAAATTCTACCGCCTGTAAATATCCCGAAGTTCTTGACCCTTTTTCGCAAAATAATTCACCGATCGATATTTGTGACCTACAGAAATATCTGTGAAAGTTTCAGAAAAATATACCACGTCGTTGAACAACGATGTAGAAACCTTGAAATTGCATATATTCCATAGTCACTTTTTAATACCCATCAGTTCATTCGCATATGTTTTTAATTAGTACTCTTTGTTACAGTACAGTCTTTTCTTATGTTAAATTCTGTTAAACATTACAATTCATTTCCTATGAAAAGCTAAAAGCATCGATTGTTTAAGATGTAAATATTGTATTTAATGCCTGACTAAGAATTTAACGCTTTATTATTTATCAGAACGACGCAATAAACAATTTCCTTCCAACCTCGTCCAATACACAATAAAATCTATCAAGCATAAAGAATAATACAAACTTTCCGAACGACCCAATATCTGATGTAGATATACAGAGAATTTTCAAAATAAAGAAGTAATTATTTTTTAAGTCATTTAATCTGAATTGATCGTCATTGCATTATGTCAAGAGGTAAACACGAACTGCAACATTCCGAAACACGTATATTGTTTCTTTTTAACGGATGTTTGTTCATCAGCCTCAACCTGCCGGATGTAACGGGGAAATTCGTATTCCAGCGAGATAAATTAATTGGAGAATGTACCGCGTTACTCGAAATGCCGTGAATAACTCGCGGCTCGAATGCATCGGGGTTAATGTAACTTTAGCAAAATCGTGCGAGTGTTTTCCGTGGCGGTGGCTGAATAACACAGGCTGATGTTTGTAACGTTTTGCCTGATGAAATTCCTGTTACACCATTCCTTCTTTCGTCATTGCGCTCTCGGCTATCCAACTTGCCGGCCGTTGCCAAAAAAAGCTCGACCGCATCCAAAGTTTCGTGACCTTTTTCATTTTTATATCTGTGTAACTGTTATCCCCTCTGGCTGGGGAAATATCAAATTTGAGGAAACGAGCGCCGAACCAAAAGGGTCGATCGATCGATATTACAATCCCGACGCTTAATCACGATTTTCCATGATAAAATACCCATTCAGCGACAATAGCGCGCTTTACTAAGCTTCTAGTCATCAACGCCCTCAATAGCAGCTGTCATACAGGTATCGGATCGTATCGATTCAACAGTTTGATAGCTTGCAAATTGTTGCGATCCATGCAGCTATCTCACTCTTTGAGTCGCTTTGCTTTCCCACCCCGTTTATCAGCGATTCGTTGTTTCGTTCATTATATTTTTTCTGAAATTCCCGATATCGTACGATTTCATCGAATTCGAATTCTACGTACAATATATAACGAACAGATAGGCGAATATTGGGGATGAAACACACGATTAAGGTATTTTCTGAAATATTTCCTGACACTAAGAAGATTTATTGATAAAAGATCGAACGAATATGCTGTTTCTGTAAAAAGAGACGATCTTGCATTGTGAAAATCATTGAATAAATCTTGATGCATTCGACCAAGCTACTTCATGCTCCTCGCGGTTCGACACGGAACTAAAGATGGGCAAATCAGTGAATTTTCCTTCTCGTCGAACCATATTATCCCTTAATTCATTTTACTTACATTTGAATAAGTCAAATCGAATTGATCTAACTCAAACGTCGTGTAGAATGTTATTAAACAGAAAAGAAAGGATGCAGTAAATTTGAAAATCTTTATATAAAGCACTGAAAACAATTAGATCAGTAAAATGGAGCTTCGTAGATTGAAGGGAAGGCGATAACAAACTTACTCAGAAATAGAGAGATACGAAGAAGAATAATAGAAAGTAATCTCTGATTTCCTTGAAAATTAGTCGAATCAGGAAAAGTTAACGGCGCTAGCCGCGAACGATGAACGACATTGATCGTGCAACATGCAGCTCTCTTCTAACTAAAATTCAATTGAACGGTATTCCGCGCGATCTCGAACCGCGAGCTCGTATCTACTTGAATTCCGGTTGCACCAGCAAACTCGATAAAAATAGTGGTAGAGGCACAAACGTGAATACGAAGACAAATGGACGAACGTGAAGCCAACGAGCAGAGATGAGAATCAGAATCAGGGCCGTGTCGAAATTTAAATTCACCGGGTACGTTTCGTGACGTGAACGAGAAGTTTTCTAACCGCGTAAGACGAGCACGTGTACAACTCCTTGCCAACGATCGTCACCGATAATTTATGTTTTCTCTGTCGCATTTCTCACGCGAGCGAAATAGCCGCGAAATTAGAATTTACTATCGCAAAGTAATATATACCATTTTAGTTCACGTTATTCTTGATTATCGTTGATTATCGTAAATCACATCCCAATAAAGCGCACTAAATTCGAATAGCCAATTTTGGAGATTTTATGACCGAGCTCCACGTTGACACGAGGAGATTTGAACAGCTAACAATCACGCGAAGTACATGAAATAAATATCCTGTCCTATAATAGTGCGATCCTTCAGCCGTATTACAAACTTTGACATTTCTATCAATCAAAAGACTCTTCGATAGAAGAAATAAAATAATCACTCGCATTACATCTCAGCAACCAATCGAAACGCGACAAAAGTTATTTAACAAACTGTCATCTTCTACGTTTGAATTTCGTGGAACTGATCAGCGTGGTTTCTGAATGCCTCAATTATTTTAACAGTTCTTCATACTTGGATCGATTCGTATTTAATCTGAGTTACGGTTTTCAAACAATAGTAATCAATCATAGCAGCGAGTTCTAAGCAACTCTCGAATCGCGGCAAAACAAATATTACGTACGTTCCTATCTATACGGTTGGAGAAACGTTCGGTCGATATGGGCTTCGTGCGCCAGGCGAAAGTTTCGTGATTTCGCGATCTATTGCTTGCACTCCGGAGCCGACGATTTACAAACAGACAGAAAAGGCTTTGCCAACTGAAACTTGTAAAATCAATTATCGGCGTTCGCGGTAACTCCCGGTTAGGAAAACCGATTTCGACGCAGATCTCAGCAAGACGAAGATCGATCTGTCTGCCAGCCCGTGGAAAAAACCTACTAGGCGAGTGGAATTGCGATTCGACCCACTTATTTTCAGTTCGCGTTCAGGCTACTTGAAATTCGGCCGGCCTTTAAGATAGTTCTCACGTATTTACAGAAAAAAACTTCGTTTTAAGTTGTTTGCTCGGTCAAAGAGAAACAATAAGAAACTCGTTTAACTTCATTTAACGGCCAATAATTCCTCCCTGACGTAATAAAAATCCATGGCTATTAAAAATTGATCGCGTTTCTTGTTTATAGTGGCAATATTCTCGAGAGCAACCAATTCTGTCAAAAAGCTTATCGACGATACAATAGAGAATCTCCTATCGGTTCTAAAACTAATAAATTTCACAGCGTGCAACGCAACGGGCTCCTGAGAGTGGCTTTTCATCGAATAAATTTGTTACGGTGGCTCTTACAGAAATTACTAGTTGAATCTCGATAAAAAGGGCCGCATCTAATCAAATTAAAAGTTCTAATATAAAAGAAATATTTTATATTCCTCGCCTTTACGATGGCTAGGAAAAATCTACCTGCGCTTTCTTTGTTCGTATTGATCAAGCAGATCGATTCTGCCACGTGAACAAAGAAACCGAGTTCTGTATATAAAACAGCGGAAAATAATTAATCGCTGCGCCGCCTCGCCCGTATGGAAAGGTTCGCGAGACGGAAATTTATTACACTTCTTTAAGGCCGCGGGACAATTAACGGTGAAAAATAAAAGTGAGATAGGGGAGGAAGCGTTGCTACAAAGGAAGAAAGGAACGTCACCGGTGAACGTGAAACGCGTCTGCCGTATAAATTACCCGATCTCTAATTAAGTAGAACCGAAGTGCTCGTTAAGGGCCGAGCTGTTAATCATCGGACTCGTGGTCGGTGCGACTGAAATTTTTCCGTCGCTTGCACGGTCACGTATCTCTATATGAGACAAAATTATTCGTGTTTGTTGGCAACGCCGTACGAAAATTCGGTTCTATTACTGGCTGTTGATAAATTTCCCGTGCGCTGTTATTAATTTTTATTCGAACTCGAACGATACGCGAATAATTATCTACGAGACACCGAGAAAAAAAGAATGAGAAATAAGAATTACGACTCACCGTTCGTAGACCATAACACGATGTTGCTTCAGATTCCTAAAAGTATCCCTTTAATCTTGATTTTCATTTCGTTCGCACGTAAAAGAAGAAGGTAACGCACACGCGCGAAAACTATATTCCACCCACACCGAACTTCGATACACTATTGCGATACACGTGCGTTTTCTATGCGCGGAGAGTGTCACGTGCAAACGGAATATACGAGCATGTATTCGTATCCATACACGAAACTGTCAAACTTGTTATCGATGTCGCGTTCACAATCCAACTGATATGGAAGGAGATGGTGTATGGCCCAGAATGAAGAGGACATAGGAAAAATGATGACGTGTCTGGGACGAGTGGAAGAAGAGCTGGCAAATTATATCCGCCATTCGACACCATTACCTGTGTGATTATCGTAAAAAAGACGTTTTAAATATAATTTCCAATTAAATAAATATAATGGTAAATAAATATACATTGGAATTTTTATTTCAGGACTGTTGAACCTTTGTTAATTTTTAAAAGTAAATTCATACGGTAGCTTTGCAATCCCTGTTTAAGGGTACAATGCCAAATACACTTGGGATACGCGATCCGTGGTTGCGATTCGGCTCTCCTCGAATGTTCAGCCGGAAATTAAAGAGTCTTCCACGAACAACTAACCGGAAGGAAGGGCGATGTTTTTCCATTCTGCGTCGCTCCCTAAATACGCGTCAAACAGGGACGCGAAAGAAAGAGGGTACAAAAAAATGGGAGGGGGGAAATGTAGGAGAAAACGAGATAGCAATGACCAATTTTCACCGACACCGACACTGGTCGCGTATCTCATTTCAGGCAAGCGACCGACCCAATTTCGCGACAATGCGCGCTCTCTACGAAAAGAGATAGAAATGAATAAACGATATAGAAGAGGAGGACAACGAGAGGAAAAGGGTGGAATACAGGGGTGGATGTGTTGAAGGGAGGAAGGGTTTGCAATGCGCGGCGGTTTTACGCGGCCGTGCGAGTTGCAATTCATGCGGCGCAGGAACTGATATTTCGCGGAAAATGAATCACTCTTATACAAACGAACGGACACACAGTGGTAACGGAATACAATAGTCAGACAATGGGGAAAGCGTAGCTTTCGGCCGGCGGTGGCTGCGGCTCGGACGGAGAGATCGTAACCAGAGAGATGCGCGACAGCGCTGGATTCCGTGGCTTTCTAGGGGGAGGAAAAGGTACCCTGGAAAGGATGAAACTAGCGTTCTCTATGCCCGGCGGCGGAACAAAGGTACACGTTTAGGAATAGAAACTGTACCGTGCTGTCGGAACAACATCCAAATTAAATTCGAGGCGCCCAGTAGAATCGAGCGGATTCTGTCTTTTTTCTCAGATTGCCCACTAATTGATCATTAATCGTTAATTTAATTAATGTATTATTGTACCAGTAATAGAGAAACCTGCAGACGTTTATTGTTGGTTGACCTTATTGTTAGTTAGGTTCATTATACTTTACATGTGCTTTCATTAATAACAATCAGTGTTTCTAACAAAGAAATAGTTCTCATATATTTTGTACTAAACTATTTTCGTTCGAGTAATGTGCAATATCTTACCAATAAATATTCAAATAAGAAGAAATCATCTTTACAGGAACGAGGAAACAGACATAGAATTTGCAGAATGTGAAAGGTACACTTTATACGATATTACTTCTCCCACTTTGTATCTTGTTTGTAAAATAAAGCGAAAATTTGTTTTTTAATCATATCTGTATTTATGTATCCCAGATCGTTTAAATGCAATTTCATTTAATTTCAATGCAACACAAGTAACGAGAGCATTTCAGGTTGAACCTGTATCGAGTATTTTCCTGAAATATTATAGAACACTGGAGATCTTTGAACGTCGTGTTCAAACGCACAACCATTTAGCATGGCATGTGATATTGCAAACTGTTTTATAAGCCCGGCTGTTTCTCTTTCCCCTCTCCTCTCACCCGCTAGCTTCCGTCCTTTGATGCTCGTGAACCGAAGCAACCAATAAAGGTTTTCGAGGACAGCTGTATCGACAGCAGCGATTCATTTCTTTTGACTATCTTCGAAGTTGGAATCCCTGGATCAGTCAACGCGTTTACGCGCACAAAACACACGCATACGAATAGATCCAAATTCTTTGACTTTCATGAAATTTAGAAATCATCGGCTTGAAGGGTAGTCACGTTCTCTCGAGATTGCTCCTTTGAAATGTGGTCAATCGTAGCACGTTTCTACCTTATCAAACGTCTCCCGCTCTTGGAGAGCTTTCATAAAATTTAATAGCTCACCCGACATCTCTTCTCACTCGATTCGACATGTATTACCTTGCGAGAACCACTCGTACTGATTTCTCTTCCATATTTCTATGGACAGACGAAATATTTAAAAAACAACTCAAAATAGAGCGTCTCCCGTACGCGTGTAAACACAGCTAATTCGAGCTAGTTCGATATACATTTATGGCGACGTGTGCCTAATACGCATGTAAAATATTAAAACATGCTATTTCTGGTGTTTTTTTTCAAGATAACGAGATGCAACGACAAGTAATAAAAACGTGTATCTGTGTGAATCTCGAAAGCACAATTAAAATCTTGTTAACTAATTCTACATTCCCCGCGGTCCATTCTCCATTCTACAAAATCTCTAATTAATTTCGCAGTATACACTGCTTCGCGTATTATCATACACATTATCATCATTTCCATATTTCCACCTATTAAGTTACATCGTGTTACGTTGAACGCTTCTGATCCACAACTTTCGATTCATTCTCTTCTTGTTTTATTGCAAACAGCTTCAAACTATTTCATAACAACCCATCATTTCTCTATCAACTCGAAAACTTACTAAATTCCATTCTTCCTAGATCTATTCTCCTAGGAAACCTGCAACTCCGTCGTTCTATCGTCGTATTGTATTGTAGAATCGCGAACCTATTATCTTTTATAGTTGCTCGTCCTGTAGCAATTCTTCCCGTAACATAAAGAGATTTCGTACAAGTTCCTCCATTGCACGAAAAGAAAGTGGAAGATGCAGTTCTGATTTTGCACAGTGCAGCAAGTAGAAATTCAATAGATAGCTGAATGGTAGAGAATGTTGTAGAGATTGTTACGATGGGCGTGATCTATGGGTGCACCGTGACCCGGCCGACCCCACAACTTTCTCCAGGTATCGAAATGTCTTCGACAGCTTTCCAACTCAATCTTTTGTTCCTCCTGGAATAAAAAGCATCCCTTTACAAGCTACATCGTAGAATCGAATCAAATTAAGCGATTGCGGATCGAAACTTGATGAAATCCCAAAATAGCTAATACATTATTATTTATTCAAAAATTGGAAATATTACTTTCGAACGCAGTACGCTATCGTTTGATTTTATCAAGTCATCTGTTGATTAGAGATCGAGTTAGCTTGACGTATTATCGATTGCAATACACTTACCAATGCCTTCTCTCGTTTTCGTTGCACTTGCTCGGCGAGTTCGGCGATGTATTCGCGATTCTCAACCTCCAACGATCGCAATCTACAAAAGCGACGCAGATAAGCTTGGCAGATTTCAATATTTTCAATATTATTCGACTCGTTTGTCATTTTCATTACGTCTTCTTGCTTTTCAAACACATTGATCCGAATGACTTTGGCAAATGAAAAAAAATGTGACACGAAAGCTCCGCATTGTTTTGCTCCTGCATCCCGGACACGTGTCTCGTGTAACGCAACAAATCGAAGTTTCGTCGAAACGAATCACGCGTTTTAGGTCGTGTTCTGAATTTTTGGTGTACAAAGAAAGCCGCTCGTGCGTGAACAACATCTTTTCCCAAAACGTTTAACCGGAAATTATAGTTATCGATCGAACATTCGATCAGAAACGGCCGAAATTGTGGTCTATAATCGCTTCGCACATATTGAAAACTGCGGTGAAATTGCGGATAGTCACAGGTGAGTCTTTCGCCTGTACCGGTTGATATAAATATTCCGACGATAACTTTTGATTTCGCTGGTTCAGATAATGGCCGCAACATTCATTACGATTCGTATGGGAAGTTACGATAATACCAGTGTTGTGAAATTCACTTCAAAATGAACGCTGGCTATTTTCAAATGCTCTCAAATGCTATTTTCAATACAAGAAAATAAGTTTTAATCCGCTGGAATGGATTTTAAAATCCAGCGCAGAAAGCAGACTAATATTTTGACAAAGTAGAGTATAAATGGCGAAAAAGGAAAAAGGAACGACACTTGAAACAGCTTTCTTGTTGAAAGGAAAACTCTTCTCTATTTCTCCGATAAACTTCACCGGAATCTATAAAACTTTCATCGAGTCACGTTGTTGAAAAAGTTGGCAAACGTCACGATGTAATGTGAAAGCACGTTAAGAGAATCGTAAGAAGCAAGAAAAGTGTCTACAAAACAATGGTCGCCGCAACGATAGCAGCCTTTTTTACGACGTTAATGTATGAAGCAAACACGTTTGCCAACTACTTGTTACCGCGCTTCCACTTACGAGAGAGACCTGCCGCAATACAAACTTCTACAGCCCTCAGAAAACTATTGCAATATTGTTTGTGAACCATACTTGACTTTTTACGCGAATATTATCCAAGTACCGTAGTTTCGTGCAATTTTATCAATGTTTTCTCGCGAGCAAATAAATTTCATGCAGTAATGTAAAACTGATGCAATATGAACTATTCAGAACCCACGTTGTTCGACTTCATAAACTGAAAAGCAGAAAGAATAATGATATTACCGCGAAAAGAATTTTGTTAATTTATCTTGGAATTTGCTGTGCAAGTTGGACCTTTAGTATTTGAATTGGAAATCGTGGAAGTAAATTAAGAAATTGTTAAGAGTTGATCAGTTTGATCAATTTACAAGAGGCTCGTACGATGACGCAACAATTCAATAAAAGTAAATAAATAAAATTCATGATAAAATGTAACGAAACGACTTTGCTCTTCGTTTTCGTGAAATGAATAAAGTACTATAAAAAATTATAAAAATCAATTTACATTCTTTAAAAATTCAAGCGTGAATTCGAGATAATTCCTTGCCCATCTGTCCCGGAAGATTTAACCAGCCTCTCAAAGAAGAGATAAGCGCCATGTTACCCTACGAGACTACGTCGGACAGCGATTCACTGAGGGTATTTACTTTTTAATAGTTACTAGCGTGCGAGACATTATGCAGATAAAAGTCCAGAAACTCCGATGAGAGTGCAATATTTTTATTCTACAAGGGCTAATCCCTCTTTTTTGCGATTAAGATGGGTTGGCTTTTTACTAGCTGGAAGAAATCTTCCTCCATGTTATAAGGAAGAGAATAGAAGATAAATCGAAAGTAGACCAACGAAAACAACGGAGGTTATAACGATCAGAAAACTTTCGGAATAAATTGAAGTTCTATCGAGTTGTTGGAAAATGGCAACTTTCAACTTTCCAGATATTTAGAATCTGCATAACTGAAATGGAACACGAACCACTAATTAAAAGGAAACACGCAACGAGCCAATGGAAAAGAATTTTTTTATCTTCCAGAGATACTTGTTTTAAACTTGTAACTTTATAAAGAAGTTACAGAAGATCAAGGTAGAAACTGTTGGAAGGTTTGCTGACCGTGTCTTTTTGGCTCAACATCAAATTTTGTTTAGTCGCTGGTCTGACAGTAGAAATAAGTGCGAGACATTGTTCCGCTGTCTTTTCTTTTCTCAAGAATCGTTCTGCGAGATAAGAGTCCGTTCATTAACGAACGCAAGAATCGAATTAGAACACCCATTTCTAGAATTTTCCTTCTCTACATATCTTCTTTTCTCGCTGTTATTTTATGAAGGAAAAGAAAACAATGGTGTAATAGATTAAAAATGATCGATTATCGAAAGGTTCGTTTTAGAACGTAAAGAAAAATATATCGCATCGATTCTGTCACCTTTTCTTCTACGAAGGAATCGATAATCAACGATGATTAATTGCACAGTGTTCCGCTGACGTCCAATCATATTATAAACAACGTAACACGCCGCTAGCGGCTGCTTCATACAAAATTCCATTAAACGCTATCAAAGTGTCTCGTTATACATTAGTCTCTCAGTGTTCCTATCTGTAATCGGTACAACGACGTCATGATAAAACAATATTCCCTATGCCCTCCACTACATTATTTCAATGAGCACAGAATGGCAAAACGATTAATTGACAGCGTAATAACGCTACTTTACAAAATTTCATGTGCAAACTTTGACGGAAGTTCGCGCTGATCCAAAAGTCATAGACGTGCATGATGTCAGCGAACAGAAACATTCACCAATATACCAATGATGAATCTGAAACGTCAAAGATTGAGAAAATTATCCTCTAAGGAATAATGGATCCTGAATCTAAAATTATGGAATAACTATAGGATATAATTTTAGATTCTGCAAATGTAGTTCTATAATTGTAGAATCTATGAAAATTATTATATAATTCTATATTCTACGGCTGACATTTGATCGAACCAATAAAGTAGTTATTATCGTGATTAAATTATTCAAGACACATTATTCCCGAGAGGAAAATCCTCTCAGACTTTGATATTTCAAATTTATAATTGATATATTAGTATATAATTATAACGCGAATATATAAGAGGATTCAAAAAACATTTTCAATGAAAAATATTTATGATCGATCTGAAAACCGAGAAAACCCTCAAATCTCAAATCTAACGAACAGCGATTTAAACTGTCGCAAATAAATTTTCTTTAAACAAGCGTGCGTTTCAAGTAGAATTAGTCGTGCGCTTACGCTCGTTTCCTATTACACAAATCGAGTCATAATACGAAACGGAAAGCGTAAGATCACAGAGGGGCGGAGAAGAAAAGCAATATCTTAAAGTGCAAAGAGAGAGTAAAAGGGAAATGACTGACGTGAACGACGATACTCGACGAGGCAGCCGTCTCGAACGATTTTTCAACACTTAGTTGCCGAAACACCTTGAAACTAGAGGAAAATTAGGGAGAGGAGCGAGGAGATATTGCAAGCAAAACTGTTGACGAACATACAGAGCGACAGACTGTAACATTGACAAACATTCGAGAGGAAGAGGGATGCTAGAGAGGAACCGTCAGCTGAACTTGTCGAGGTCGAGAGAGTTCGGGTCAATGGGTTGATTACTGCTGTAATGCAGTTACATCCTCCGAGTAGCGTAACAACGCTAACCAGACCTGCATTGTAGGCTCATGGTTCGTCGCATTTTGATATGGCGTGTCTTTCGACACGTCGAGATTGAACTCGACACGATAATGAAACTTTGAACACCTGGCGAGGAAACTGAAATTTATTCATTACCAAGCAACAGAACAAAAAATCATGAATGGGGAACGTATCCACAGATCAAAACGATCCATAAGATAAAACGCTGACGTACAATAACAACATTAAGCATGGACGAAAACGTATAAAAAATCGGATATTAGAAATGAAAATGATGCATGTAATAAAGCGTTAACGAGTATCTAGAAAATTCATTTTCAAAACATAATACGTACGGGTCTATCGTGTATCCAGGTCGAGTGGCATCGGTGGCAACGTGACGATTGTTTTGCAATTGCGATTGCGAGCAATATCGTCTGCTAGTTAAAAGAGGGACCAATTCCACACCCCCGGTCAATTCGTACACCTGAACTTCCTCGTTGTAGGGATTTTTTGAATCCTGTATCAGCTGCATATCCGTAGCGATACCTAGGAAATAGACTGACCTAGAAACCGGATGCTGACCTTCCCACGCCGACACCGAGAATTTCCATCCGTTTACCTGGTTCTGCTTTATCATCAAAGAACTTGTTCATATTCGTGACGGGCAAAGGATTAATACTCCTTCTGTGTAGCCTTTCGATGGTCGAATTGCTCGTCCAGCCCTGAAAGGATTCAACGTGATGACTCGCTGCAACCGATGCAGCTTGTGCAGTGCAAATCGAATCGACTTAAGTCAGACAGGAGTTCATTGATATTCGCGTCTTCGATTCGAGTTCATCGCTTCTAACATGTACCAACGTAGCAGTGTTCCAACAAAGTGCCATTAGATATAATCTTTCAAACTTTTTCTAGTCTACCAACTCTTTGGATCTTGTTAAATCCATCGCTTTCTAGTTAGGATGCATATCTTGATAAAAGTAACAACGCCATTTATTGAGTATCGTTCGTCAAAATCCGATGAAGCTGAAATTAGAATCGTATCTTGATTCGCGTTGACTTAACCATTGAAAATATCGATCGTTCAATCTGCAATGTCGAGTAAAAAAAAGAAAAGAACGAAGCTCAGAAGGTTGAAAACTTAATTAAAGGGAAAAATTCTACAAATAACTAAAAACGAATAAGAAAATCAAAGAGTAAATCACGAGGAAGGGCAATAGAGCTGACAAGAAAAATCTATCATCAGATAATCAGTAATCGCTTAGCTAGTCTAGGCTTGACTTAACGCGGTTGCATCGTTCATTCATCAACGTCATTCTAGTTAGCTGGTTAGTTACAGTAAGGCTGTGTGGTTTATTAAGAAGAAAAACAGAAAACCTTCCATAAATTCATGCCCGGAAGCAGCTTCATGCCGAGAAAGAGAGAAAACGTAACGGTTTTGAAGAGGTGAAGGAAGATTCACGCGCTGAGGGACCTGCAGTGGAAAGGATGAAGAGAAACAGGGAGTAGGAAGGGTGATAGCGAGAGGACGAGTTTACGTACAGGAAGAAGTAAACTTGGCTGAAGTGGAACGCGCTAATAAATTTCAGTTTAAACTTTCGGGCTATGGAAGCTGGTCAGAGGATCGTTCAATTACGCAGTAACGTGGCACAGTTATGTGTTTGTCGTTCAGGGATGTTACAGCGGTTAATTAAAAATTAAGAGTTTCATCCTTGAGGATGGTTGACCAGGCTGAGGCTAAGAGGCAGAGGAAAGCCCGAAAGGAGACTGGGGTTGGATAGCGTGCTCGATTGAAGCCGCGTCTCCACGGAAACGCAACCGCCGTGCCTCGAAAGCATGTTCATATAAGCGCTAATTTCCACATCAAACGCTGTTTACCAACACCCACCGTGTACGATGATATTCCAGCTCGATAGAAAAACCTACAGCCGTTCCTACCGACACGGTACGCGTCGTTGCATTCGTTTCTATCACGAGACTTTAACCTGCGTATGCACAAGTCGTAAAAATTCAGACGGAAAACCCAGCACGCCTTGATCTCGTCTCTGTACGGTTCGAAGGATTCAATCTCCCTTTGCTAATGGCTCATGCAATCCCGATCTACAAGCTCCATGTAAGTGTATAAATACGAACGAAGGTGTACGAACAAAGCCTATGTACAACTTTCCAGCCAATTTCCAACAAATCTTAACGTTCAGGTAAGAAGAATCTATGGACAAGTGAACGATCAGTGTATGCTAAAGTGATTCCTAGCTATAAATGAAAATTAAACAGACCGGGGATAAATAAACATAAATGTGAAATTTATAAGAACACAAACCCAAAGTCCCTAATTACAAGCAAATTTGAGAACGAGAAACAAAGCCTGACTAACAAGCTGATCGTTGATGGGTCCTAGTATCTAACGCATCGAGGAATATGCGTACCAGAGATTCGAGGAAGCGCGCACCCAGCAACTTGGGATCCCTCCAAGGAACTCCACCCGGACCAGGTCGACCCCACGGCCAGAGCGGTGCCAGCTAAGCACACGGCGTCATAGCATATTAAGCAGTTTCCAAGGTTCGTTTCCTACACCCACAAGGTGGCTGCTTCGCATTCAAGCACGTGCTCGAAATCATTGCACCTTGTATCCTAATATTCAAGATGAATTCACCACTTGAGCATTACGATAAACTTTTAATAGACCATTTACTTGTTACACATTTAGACACCTTTGTACACATGATTTTTCCGATACATGTCACTGGAATTTTTTTCGAAGAAAATACGAACGTTCGAGTGTTAAATTCATCCCGCAACATTATCAAATTTTCGATTCTTATTCATGTAATTTAATTTCCCAAAAGAAAGTTCGACAGTCGATTCAGAATGACTAATGTTTAAAACAAAGGGACAACGCGACGTTGCGGTCTATTTTTCGTCAGAATTTTCCAAGGAAATTTTCGCGTCTCCTTGCAAGAGAAATTGACTTTCTTGCTGAAGCTAGTAGAAACGTTTCTAACTTTACGTGATCGGGGAACGATACGTCTACGGTCTGACCGGAAACGGACTATGTAGACGTTCTGTCTTTATCGACGTTATTGCCACGAAAAAGGTGTTTCACGTTTAGCGTACAAGGAAAGACCATTACGAAATTTCTCTTACGCAAACTACTACGATTAGACTTCGCTCATTTCGAAACGTTTGTAATATTACATTATTATTGCATGAACTTTTCATCTTTATAGAAACTAGAAAATATCCTGAACTTTTAATGGATTACGAAAAGTGTCGTTAATTGGAAACGTTAATTATTATTATTTAGGACTAATTACTGTTTAGAAGAAAAAATTTCTGAGAATCATCGAGCTTCTGCAATAATAAGTTTCTTGATGAACGTATAGTACTCAATTTCCTAATTTTCTAATACAATTTTTTAATACAAAATTGTGAGAAGTTATACAAGCAAATTATCTTACTAATCGAGAATTATCGTGGAGAAAGATCTACTCGAGGTTCGTTAACTAACAATCGTTAAGCATGTAAAGAACATCAATATGATCCGATCGATAAGCCATCGAGATAGCGGAAAGGTTTCGTGCGCGAGGCAGCTTGAGATGTTAATGAAAGGCGTCATCGAGGTGATGGCGATATCGCCGGATCTTATCGGTACAACCGCGATAACGATGGCTATTTTCCAATTTTTCCACCACCTCGTCATCAACAAATCTTTTTTATCAGTCACTCTCTATTACGACACCTTCGTGATATCAATCGCAATGGAACTGATTTTCGAAGGATTTATTCAACTTTTAATCAAAGAGAACATTAACGGAAATGATGCTTAAGATATGAAATACGACGATTGGAAACCAAAGACAATTATCAAGACAAGCAATATTTTAACATTATGACAAACGATACGTTAAAAATTATGAAGAGTATAAAAAGATACATGTTGAATTCGAAAACTAAATAAAAAGACAATTCATTCCTTATCTTAAAATAACTTTCCTATGAAAACTAGGAAATTTGTCTTATTCTTGTACTCTCGTCTTATTGTCATAGTCTTTTTCTCCAGTCTTCATATAGTATTGAATGTATTCTTGAAATGATCAAAGTCATTTGCTAGTCGAAGAGGCTATAAAGAGAACTGCTATAAAACATCCACTCCACGATCACACGTTTTAAACAGAAAATTGCAGACCAGTATATGTGAGACGTAACAACAGTCGCATACTATCTTTTTTTATCATAACTTTGAATTGCAAATAATCTTCGTGAACTAGATCCCGAATCACGATCACGAACGATCGCGGGTTAGTTACGTTACTGGAAACATATCGGAGGCAAACATTTGCACGGTTATTATCGGGCAACGGCGAATGCATCCTTACGATGATAATGGTTCTCGTAATTGGCAGGATAATAAGGGTTAGAACGACATCCTTCAACGCGAATTGCTCGCTGTTTTCTGCAAACAAGGGCGCCCTAATTTTCCCAACAATCTTCGATTCTGTCCCACTTTCTCCTCCATCTGTATTTGTATATAACGTCACGTCAAGGAATAATATTATTCGTAGATTTTCGTGCCCGGAATTTCGTGAACTCATCGTCCTTGGCTTCCCGCGCGGCTTTTGCTTTGGTAAGTTGTTGGTATGGATAACATGGTAACGTTACTTCAGGCGAGCGAAACAAATTTCATTCAGAATTTTAGGTAATACAGTGAATTATAACATTCAGATTGAATTAACGGAGGAATTTCAAAAGAATTTCATTTTCATTAAAAATAAAACAACTTTGACTTTCGTCTGCTTCGTATGATTCTGTTAATTTTTAATCAGGAGAAGCTCTTTAGTAAAAATAAAGCACGTTAAATGGATAGAAGGTAAGATATCGCTGGAAGAAAAATGAGATTATTTGTTCTAATGAATTAGAAAAGTATAATTAAATATTTACTTGCAATGACAAAATCGCTAGCACGAGAATAATAGATTAAATTATTGATGATAATTAACCGTGTCTACTTGAAAAGCTGGTTATGATTAAAACTGTAGGTTGAGAATGATTAATTCATGTCTTTGCAAATTGCTGGCGCATTTCATGCATTAATATTAAAATACTTAATGGAAAAGCAATGAACATTTTCAAAAATGCCAAGCGGTAGGTTGATTAAAACTCTTTAATTTAATGCAAAAATTGAGTGACTGTAAAAAATCAATTAATAAAATTTAAATATGTGATTGATTAATAAAAATCGGAACTTCGACGCGTGTGTTTTCCCCGTGAAATCGATTTACAAATTTTTGTTTTTAACGCCACTCATAATGAATGAATAGCATCCAATTTGCGAAAATATATTCACTATTATCGCGATTTTGTCCATGTCTGCGATGCGGTAGGAGTGGCAAGTTTTTTAATTCGTCCTTAATTGAAATTTATTACGAACATTGAAAAGCTCGAAAATCGGCAAAAATCGTTTAAATATTTACGCTCGTGATTAATAATTTCATTCATACTTTGGATTATTTGCATGTATTTTTAATCATTAGGTTAGTAATCCCAGTATCTATGCGAAAGATATTGCGCATGCAACAAACTTTTTATCAAGACCAGAGAATGTCATTGATTGACAGAAATCCATTGCCTGCGAATCGACAGTGTAGCAACGTAAAAATGACAGCAAAAATAGCAAAAAAGCAGGGAATAACCACGTATCGCATAAAAAATGTCAATGGTTATCTAGTCAGAGACGATCGAATTTATGTCAAATGTAGTGAAAATTATGACATATCTCTTTATCCAAGTTCGATATTTTTTTATTTAAATGGTACATAAATTGTTTAAAACATTACCTGGCTGAAATTATGACACTTTGATAATTCCGGGGGTTCTAGAGGAACGTTTTTCTTTCTAAGGGTTGCAGCACAAGGAGCACCGCCACCTGGTTTACCCCAAGGCGAATAATTCTCCAAGATTTGCTGGAGCTATAAAAAGGAAGAAACAGTTTATTGCTTGATTGATTGATTTACAAATTTCTACCTTTTAATGATAAAAAAGTGTAGATAAATGTAAAAGCATATATGTGAACTAATTAGAATTAACATGAAAATAAATGTATCCAAAATAGGCAACACTGTTGGGAATACTGCACTGGCGCGTTCCGCTTGTCTGACGCTACACAGATTGATTCTGCTGAGCGCTTATCGAGTCCATATTGTCCGCACAGTTTTAAAGGGCGAAGTTTCCTTCAATACCGTTCAGCGTGGTTTTATAAATCTGCTGAAGATTTGAACAAAACTGGACTTTCTCTTTTCACCAGCTTACCGTGGATATCAATATTTCTCCAGTGAAATCTTATGAGATAATAACTTTTCCCAAAACACGGTTGCAAGTACGTTAATATTTTGATAATACACTTTAGCAGATAGAAAATTTAAAACCCGAATATATTCCGTTGGAATAGCATTAAACTAACTTTAATATTTTGCGTTTAGATTACTTTAATGCTTAGTGTAACATTTTATAATATTTTCCCACGTAATTCTAGGTTAAAGAATTACGGAGTTATATAAGAAAAAACTTGAATAATGCTAAGCCTTAATAAATGCCATTTAAAACAAAAAAGAAAATGAACCGCTTTAAATTCCTGTTCTAACTTGGTTTTAGCGAAACATTTTCATTAGAATGTCGAGTAATCCCTTTCTGTGAGCATCGCAATGAGACGTGCCTTTTAACGCACAAGAAGTACAAGTCACGGATTTTGGAATTCTCTGTTGATTCATCACTGTAATCTACGGATAAATGCTCCTGTTTATTAATATTTAAAGAAAAATTCCTTGGCACAGCCTTTATAGCATACTACTAATATTCAACTGTTCTTAATCCAACGTTGGCGCTTCAAGATAAGTAATTCGGATGCACATTACTACCCTGAATATTTTAATCTTTTATTGAATTTCGCTGGCTAGCCACTACACACATATGTATCTCCGACCAGAAATTCTTCCCTGTAGTAAAAAAGAAATTCGAGCTCACACTGATAATACCCATTTCTGGCGTTTTTGTAATAAAATGGATATTTACAACCCTTTTAAAGAAAAATTCCATCTTTCTAAAACATGCATTAGAACTAAAATAAAAAAATTTTAGATTATATTAAAAAAAAAAAATTTGAGCCTTGCAACTATTTTATTTTGTATTTTTATTTTTTATTTTTTATTTTTTATTACTTTTTATATATCATTAAAACCCATAGGAAATTTAGGAACGTAACTAAAGGAGTTATTACTTTCATCTACTTTTAATCATACTAAATAATGGTCTCCCATTTTAACGTAATAGAAATTTCTGCCTGTCAACCCAGTTGTCGTTTAACAGTTTGCGATTCATCATAGCGAAAGAAATATAATCCATTTACATTGGATATCGTTAGAAATGATGGATAAAAATGTAGTCCAACTAACAATAACTAAAGGTACATGCGAGTTCCATTAAAACCAGTGAAAACATTTGCGCTCGTTAGTGAAATATTTCTTACAACTACCAAGGCAAATATACGCAGTAATTACAGCACAGCTACTAATGATACGGTTTATACAAATTACGCTCAACGATTCGCTTTAACATTCGCGAGCTACGTAAAAAAAGGAATAACATTTCAATTGCAACGAAATCTAAACCGTAGCTAGGTATAAACCACTTTACTGAAAATTTTAGTGCCTTTTAATAAAACGTTCCGCTGTAAATCATTTCCATTAAGTTGTGTATCAAACGTTGTTGGCAAAATTTACAGTCAACATACAGGCAACATTTACAGAACCAAAAACATACTGTTTTACTCTTCGACTATTTTCGTGCAGTAAACTATGATGACAAGCCTAAGTGCCATCTACCATTCTCGATATTGTTCCCCATTTCTATTTTACAGGGCTTGAATGGCTGTGACCACATGAAATCCCATTGTAGCGTGAAAAATCTTTTGCACAGCCTCGTAAATCTCCACGGTTATTGCCGAGCTTTCGAAGAAATGTCATCAAAGGGAAAAAATAAGGGTTGTTGTCGATACGAATGTGTACTGTTGATCTTCATTCGATCGCCGACAACCACACCAAACGAAATTGGTAAAGCCAAAGAGGCTCATGGTCAGCAAAGGCCAGTGACGTAAACGGTGCTCGAGTTAACATAATAGTCATTTACGACGCATACTTCTCGCTGTTCACGGTGCTTTTGACGTAGCAACTCCTCCTTTCGTCGTCTCCACGAGGCCGTTCCCTCTTCAACAGCCCGCCGTTCTCGTTCCTTTCTCGTATCCTCCTCCACTTCCGGTACGTACGTCGCCTCCGGGATATCCTGCGCCATCTCGGTCCCGGTGTCTTCCTCTTAATAAAAGCACGAACAAATCACGAGCATCGCGTGTAAGGGAACACGTGCTACATACGTGAGCAGTTATACTGAAAATCAAATGGACGCTGCTCAAAAGTGGTTAGAGAACGAACAAGCTTGCTTTATCTATATCTCTTGCTAAAACTGTTGCAAAATTCTTGTAATTTTCCTAATGTACTAATCATTAAGATTGCGAAAAGATTTTGTTTGATAACTGTCGAGTAATTATTAATTGATTAGATACTATCAAATAATTAGTGATAAAATTACGCACTTGATAACACTACATTGATTCCTAATGATAAGACTTGAAATGTCTACTATCTATCTTTAAGTAGACGAATCGAGAAAATTACAGATGCAGATATTCAATATCAAGAGACGATGTCAAAACAATGTGACAGCATCGTGTCGCATGACAAGGCACTTGGTTCCGTTATCATCTGTTATCGATTTAACAAGTTATTATTCTATGAAAAAAGACGCGATACTAATCTGCATGGCTATATAATAATCTCTCTCACGTAGGAATATTAAGAGTTATTCGTTGATTCGCGCGATGCTTTTATTTTTATCCTTTTCCAGCTGAATGTTACAATCGATCTTTCAATGTTTTTAATAATTTTCAATTACAATGAAAGTTTCCGGACTTTTGTACGATATAGCTCAAATTAAAACATCAAGTAAACATGTTTTACGTGATGAAACATTTTACTAACAATAAGTGAATTTCTGTATGATGAAAATTTATCTCGTGACTCGTATGAAAAATTCATTTATTTCATTTTTTAACATAGCATAAAACATATTCGGTGTAAAAGTTTAGGTAATAACAACGCTAATTTGATTGGCTTGAAACAGAAAATACGACGAGAAGAACGATTAGTGGACGGGCAAAGTTCATTTCCACAATATAATCATTGCCTCCTATTGTTAATTTTAATATACATATATTATTTAAATTTTTAATTTATCTTTGAAAATTGGTTCCATTCGGAACACATTCAATAGAAATACGAGTAACATAAAAGAATGTTACGTTCGATTTATCCATAAAAATATTTTCATAACGTACTCGAGCGGGAAATGCGAATAGCTGAGAGTAAAATGAAAAAAAACTTCAGGATATGTTTGCATAAAACCATCAATATCATTTTATGTGGAAACAACGATCGTATTACGAGGTGCTTCGAAAATTTCATTTTTATAATGAAAGATTATCATCGTACATTTGAATTTTTCGGATCTAATGAATCTTTTAACAAGAGAATTTTCATATTTAAAAGAGCGTAATAATTTTTCAAATTAACGTAGACGAGTAAATTCACGAGGAATTCAACGCAACGTGCTTTTCAATATTAAGACCATTAACAATGTATATACAATTGTTGCGATCTGTAATGCTAAACATTTTACTTTCAAATAAGCCACAAAATCGTTTCTCTCTGTCCCGAATCAAACACGGTAAGAAAATACATTCGATTCGAGATAACTGTTAAAAAATTAAATACCTTTGAATAAAACATTCTGCATAAGATTACGTAGCGACAAGTTCTTCCCCAAAGAAGGGGAAAGAAATTCCTTCATCATTGAAGAAGAAATATACTACTTCTTATAACTATAGGAAACAGTGTTTTAAGCACTCAATTATTATGAAAATGAGGAGAACATATGTAAATTACGTAATCACATGACTTATATAGTTTTCGAGTAATTGTCTCCAATCGTCTTCCTTAAATGCAAGATAATTCTTTAAATGTTCGAGGGACGCTCATTGATTCGATGAAGTGCACGTTGCCCTCAATTAGAATCAGACCGAAGCTCTAACATTCTTCTGTTCTACGAGCTCGTGCACTGTTATTTTGCAAAAGGTAACATTAACTTTAATACTCACGACGATGCAGAAGTTTTGCGTGTCACGGAGACGTGGCTAGATCCCGATACGGGTAACAGTAACTCGGAAAAATATTTGGTAAACCGATTATATCCATACAAAAGTTGTTCACCTGACGATGAGAGCACGCGACTACCAACCACCCCGTGAATCCACCCTGACGTCGCGTCGCTTCGACGAAGTCAGCCACCCTGTGCTGGTTCCCGACGTCGATTCTCTACACTCCACATACCAGTACATCCCCCTCGACGTACACTGTTACTATATGCGTCACGTTTCACGTCGTTACCATCTACCACTATACTACTCGACCTTCGACTGCTGGTTCGTGACCAGGGCCGTGAAGTTTCACGGAAGCACCCCTAACATCAAGACAGCGATTACAAAGGCAACCTATGAGCATTGGTTCAGAATAAAAAATATTTAAAGTATGCTTATTCAAGAAAGTAGTTTGCGTCATATGATGAGGATTTATTTACTAAAATTGTGGGCGTGGATTTGCTAGGTTAGCTACTGCGGTTTATCAAGATCTTAATTATCAATTATATCATTAATATAATTAGGCTAATTTAAATATATTAATCGAGTCAAATTTACTTAGGTTTGCGTGCTAAGATTAGTCCTGACTTCGACTTGTACAATTCTGCGGTGTACAATTTGTGGAATTAGTCGATAGTAAATTATATTGCATATCTCAATGATATTAAATTTCAACAGACGTTGCATAATTAGATATATCACATGTCATTAACCTTTTACCATGGTATCGATCTATTAAGTACGTGTGACTATTATGTTGAAAAATACTTCTTTAATCATATGATTGCCATATTTACTGTTGCCATTCATGGTATAATTTACAAAAAAAACTCCGAGATTATTTAAATCTAAGTGCGTAAATTCAGAGAACGGAAATTAATTCTTGTGATTCATATTATGCAACAATGGAATATCATCTGAAACTGTTTTACGACAAAAGATTGAAAAAACTATCGCTGGAATACAAGTATTTGCTCAAAATTATCTGTTCCCTTTGCTAAACGTACTACGCACGAACACGCAAAGCATATTTTTCTGCTAAAGTATCTTTCTTGTATTTACTTTACTGTCATACTGCTTGCAGAAGGGGATTTACAAGCATATGTATACATTTTTAAGGATATGAAAAGCAAGCAATGTGAGCTTCAAATTCAAATTAAGAAACGTTCGAAAAATAAAGTACAAAAAAATAATGCTACTTGTTCTGAAAATCTTTTAGCAAAGATTTGAAAAGAACATGGATACATTTGTACACATTAAATTTGAACTTTTATCTTAACCACCTTTATATGCAACGAAATAAGGTGAAATATTATTATTTCGTAATTCTTCCCTGCTTTTATACATCATGTACATTAAACACTAATATGTAGTATTATGAAAAATTATTTATTATAAAGATTTCATAAATCTTGAGAAAAGTTATGAGTGACAGCATAATCTACTTGATCTTAACCCGTTGGCAGAAATAGAAAATAAATTACAATTTCTGAGATTTCAAACAATTCCTCCAGAGTAGAATGAAATAAGAAGTAGAACATGTTAACCTCTTTGGCGTAACAGATTGTCGGTAAAAATATTCCAGCCAATATTGTTGATCTAATTCAATACGAAATGTTACAAATAATATTTTTCATATTGATATGTAGTTTCGTTGGCGTTCGCTCTGCCAATCTCGAAACAGTGAGTGATGAAGAGCTTATAAATCTTATAAAAACTGAGAAATATGTAGTCGTACTTTTTAGTAAGTTTTGATTAATGTTTACACGTATTTTTTCATTTATCAGAATTAAAGAACGTTTTTCATGATAATTGATATTAAGTTTATTTATAATATAAATAATATCTAATATTTAATTATATAATATCGTAATAAAAATAATATTTTTAGTGAGAAATTTGATAAAATTCATTCCTTTAAAGAAATCTTGGCATAACCTATTGACTGAACTTCTATCTTTTTTTAAATTTCTTTTTCCTATATATTGACTCTTTCATGCTAAAAATTATAATTCATTTAACTAGCAGTTCTTATATGTAAAATGCTCAAATACGGATAATATTTACAGCAAGCAAACAGCGTCAATGCACAACGTGTGATAACTATAAGAATGAAATGATTCGTTTAATACAAGATCTAAATTCTTTATCTACTGGGGTTGTGGAAGCTATTGACAGTCAATTGCTTCGTGTCTATAGTGACGATAAAGAACCAGCACTTGTGTTCTTTAGGCATGGTGTGCCTTTATTATATGATGGTATAGTCATTAATATTAAAAACAATATATCTTAATAAAAAATGCTTTTATTAACCTATTAATTCCCATTTAATCACCTTTTTTAGGACCTCTGAATGCTGAAGAAATTTTAACTATGTTCAGTGAAAACAAGGAACCTACAGTGAAGGAATTAACTGATGATACATTTGAACATCTAACACAAGCAAGTAGTGGAGCTACAACCGGGGATTGGTTTGTTATGTTGTAAGTCTTAGGTTCCCCATAATGTTTTGTATGTATGCATATTTCTTATTCGGCAGATATTTAAAGTACAATTCTTTTACAAAAACAGTGGCAGTACAGACTGTGTGGAATGTAGTAGACTGATTCCAAGGTGGGAGGCTGTAGGTGCAAAACTAAAACGAAGGGTTAATGTAGCACGTATCAACAAATACACAACTGGAGCATCCACGGCAAGAAGATTTAATGTTTATAAAACTCCAGAATTTATATTGTAAGTACATAAGAGATAAATAGTAAGCACGCCATAAGATGCTATAATGATAAACAGAATTAATGATACAATTTGATGTTTTAATATTTAACATAATTTATTTTGTACTTGTAGCTTTAGACATGGTAAAATGTATCGTTATCAGATTCCAAAATACGACGTTAATTCTTTTACATCATTTGCAAAAGAATATTACAAAAATGCACATGCTGAGACTGTCCCAGTACCACAACGACGACTGTAAGTTTGAACACATTTATTAGTAGATTCAAGTTTTTGTACACAGATATTAGTGTAATACAATTATGATATAAATATGTTCCCGTTTCAGCGATGATCTTGGAGAAACAATTGCGAATTTCTTACATGTAAATCCATGGATCAGTAGCATAGCGATCGGCGTATTTATTATAATTTCCGTAGCTTTTAAATTCAGACGCACAACTGAAATGGCACAAAAAAGGGACTAGCCATTTCGTGTATCAAAGACATATATTATGGGTCCTGTCTCAAGTTATTATTGATCATGATTTTATACAAATCACAATGTATGTATATACATAGATAAGATGAATAAAGTTTTTAATTACAGTGAATCTCTTATTTTTATACTTTTAACAACTCGCATAATTTTTTATTTTCATAATTATATATATATTTGATCAGTTCCCGTAATATGAATATTCTAAAGAGATACAAAAACATATATATATATATATATATATATATATATATATGTATATATATATATTTTATTTCTAACAATTGCATTTTTTATTTTGTATAAAATATGTATAATAATCACTGCAAGTCTAATCTTTTTTTAACACAAATGTTTTCTATGTTTTACAATAAATACTTTTGAATAAAAATTATTGCTGTTACACACAGGATGGCATCTACTAAAAATGATATGCATTTCCCCAAGAAAGTCATCTGAATCCATATAAAAAAATTATGATAAAATTTTATATTTACATATACCTATTTAAAAAATTAAATAAAAGCAGATTGAAAGTAATATATTTATTTGGGTAAACGTTGTACTTTAACTTATTTATGATAAATAAATGATTTTAAATGAATTTATATGTGAACCCCTTCACATTCGTTAGGTAAGACATATACTTCCTTTATTACTAGTAGAAAAATAAAGTAAAAATATAATATCAAATGCATCAAGATTCTTTGTATTTTTCTGTAACTTAATGATTTCAGAATATTTATGTTTTGCTTTATATTTTATATTCTTCATAATTTGCAATAATGATGTTCTATTCACTCACAAGATACTCCGTGCTACTAGTAGCTTTGTGCATTGTAATGAGAAAATGTTCACTCTCTGTGATAGTTTTAGACTTATCAACATAAAATATTGCATCTATTTTAAACATTATCAATTGATATATTTATCCTAAAGACAGTAGATGAATCAGTTAATGCCATTCTGATACTATTCTCAAACTTTTCTTGTATGGATGAAAATTCCATCATATTGCTTGGTTTTGAATCAATCCAAAATCCATCAAATTCATAGAAAAGATAACAGTAAAGTTGATGAAATGCGCGAATTGTTGGAAAACCCTTTGAAGAATTATAAATATGAGTCTTGGCACTTCCATCCCTTAATAATCTTAGAGCCATGCTTGTTAAATTTATGCCCACTATGGCAAAAGCATAACCATAACGTGGATGTGTAGAATGTGATAACACGTGTGTTGCAGCACTGGGATACTCTTGAGCAAAATAAACTAGATTTTCTAATCCCAAAATGCCCATTCCACGGAAATCTGTTTTTGGATCATCACCCTGAAAGCCGATGTGTTGCCACTGTTTGGTAACTCTAGCATCTAAAGGCTCATAAGGCATCAACAAATTCCATAATTTTAATAGTTGGAACTCATGCTCAGAATTGTCAGCATCATATGGTGTTTTTCTAAGCTCTTCACATTCCACACAAAGTTGTCTATAACCCCAAATTAGTTCTATACATTTACCAAATGACTTGGCAAAGTCAGGGTGAGCTGTTGGATTTACTTTCTTAGTCACCAATATGGTTATAATAGCTTCCTTCAAAATTTTTTGCTTTGTCTGTTTTGTGATTGCACACTGATCAGCGAGATCATTCAAGTAGACTATAAGAGTTTTAATATTAGCATTCCTAGATAACTTAAGAGATTCTTCTACAGCTAATGTTCTCGGTGCTCCAGGTAATTCTCCATAACAAATTCTTTGAAGTTCACACATTCGTGTTGTGTGCCTTAATAACCATTTTACAATGGGTCTGAAATACCAGCACACCAATGACCAGAAGTATATAAACATGTTTCCTGACAATTAAGAATCTTGATACAGGAAAAATTCAAGTACAAAATTTTTTTATATTCAAGTGCTAATTAACCTCATCCTGTCATCGTATCTCGACATATACAGGTTTTGTCACTAATTTAAAATAATGAGACTTGGAAATTAACACTTTGAAACGTATTTCGATAAATACGTTTTCCTCTTTTCACCATTACAATTAAAATCAATGCACATAACCTGTGCAATAATGTATCTAATATACATGTATGACAGAAAGTTTAATTTTGGTACATGAAAAATAAACTAATCTGTTCAGTTTGTTTATAATTAACAAACTTTCGACTTCTATGCTGCTATTACAGAAAAATCATTGAGATTTCTTAAATATTTAACTTGAGTAAAGAGAAATCAATAATAACCTACTAAATCAACATAGTACCGATAGCAGAAGAGGTCACTCACTACTCACTACCGGTACAGTCATCCTGTATCAAAAATTCAATATAACACACATACCCACGTTGTATAGAGTTAGGAGATTTTCTTTTAGAGCGAAGCATCATAGACAATCGTGAAGTGACTTTAAATATTTTTATCTTCCTTATAAGGCAATTGGTATAAAATTACTATATCACCTTGAATATCTACCCTTACAAATGTACGATATTTATAAACATATATGGAATCAAGTTTTTTATAGTAACTTAGACATAATGAAAAAACAATGTCATATCAAAAAATGACGTATGTAAAGTGAAATAACTTCAGTCAACCAGAGTTTTAAATAATCCATCATTGATTAGAAAGTTTGTCAAATCAGTAATTTTAAGAAAATATCATAAATGGAAAACGAGCATGAGTCTTCGACAGAAATTTCAACAGATAGCTCAAGTAATACCGACAGCATTCAAAATGTTGACAATCAATGCATAGAATTATCCAATGAGGAGCAAAGGATAAAGGATCAAGCGGACGTCGATTTAACATTGGATCTAGGAAGCATGTTGCCAAATTATGATCGTGTTTCTGAGAATGAGAATGATGATTCATTAGAAAAGCTCTCAGCTGTTCTTGAACAGCCAGAAGACTCGGTGATTTTAGAGGGCGCGCAGTCAGTAGAAGATGGCCAAGACGATAAAGATTTAAAGTACACACTATGTTAAAAAAAACCTTTGTCAATTAAATAAAAAAAAAAAAAAAATATCACACGTTATATTGAATAATTTTCATAACTAACAGCTACATTCTTCGGGAGCGAATAGAGTCGCTCAGTGAAGTAATGAGGAACTTAAAGGAAGAATTAAGGAAGGAAATAGAACTTTGGAAAAAAGAAAAAGGGGAATTGCAATTTTTACGTGAAAAGGATGATGCATTGGCTTTGGAAGAAGCAACTGCAGCCGCACGTGCAGCTGCAGCAGCCTATGCTGCCGAATCGCCATTATCTAACAATCTGGGTAATTTTTCTTAGGAAACGAGATGTAAAATATTTGAATAATGTTTTAATAACGGACTAATTAATTTATGGTACAGGGGATGTTTTAGATATCTCATCAGAGGATGCGTTCAGAGAATTGACAATACTCGAATATGAGAAACGTTTGGCTAAATATCAAGACGAATACTCATTTATTCAGGCGGAAAAGCGTTATAATGCCCGATGGAAAATGATAGCAAACGCGTATAAGCAGAAATTGATGGAAGTGGAACGACTTTGTAACGAGGAATTAGAGAAAGTTCAAAAAAATGTGAATCATTTGCAACCGCTGAAAGAAATGGTATCACAATGGTATCTCGACGAAGAAAACCATGGTGATTCGATCAGAAGAACCGATTTTGCTGCAAATGTCCAGAAACTCAATACTTTCAATGAGAATAATATGCTCAATCGTCACACATTGCAAAAGATAGACGCGGAAGTCAATATGGCACCAGAAATATTCGTTGCTCGATTCAAATCCGACGATCCAACAAAAATAGATAAACTTTATGGATAAATCTCTCCCCATACTTATAATAATACTTTTAATTCAACGTTTTCGGGATACATTTAATATACACATATTCGTATTACTTCTCACATATTAGAAACAGAATTACAATTTACATAAATCTTAAATTTTAATTTTAGATACCATTTTGAATAAATAAATAATCTATCGTAAAAAAATATACATACCTTTACATTATTTCATGTTGTTACTCCGTGAAGGATATTTCCATTCATCATGAGAAATTTTGATAATGCAGTTACATTCAAATTAAAGCAAAATGTCTACCCTTCTCTAGGGGCTACGGATATGGGAAAGTGATTGCAAAAGTTTTGAAGAATTACCGATACATACTATATAATTTTGCAAGACTACAATTGTACAACAACTTTGATGCAAATTGGTTTGTTTAAAACAATATTTGAGAACTAATACGTAAAAGTATATCGTTTATTGTGAAAAATATCTGAAGTACGTTATTCAAAAGTGTTACCGCGCGCGTTCCTTCGTTCACTAACGGATGTGGACTATACCATTTGGACCGTTCCAATTGTTCCAACGTTCCTTATTCATTGTTTACGTGACGTGGTACGTTGAACGATACGTTTACTGGTTGTTGCCGGTTGTGTTCAAGCAGAATAAAGTTCAAATTGTTTTGTTTAACTTGGTTATCGTAATTTTATAAAAAATAGTTGTGACAATGTTGCAATCTATATTCGACGATGTGCGGCGAATGAATAAACGGCAGGTAAACGAATTTCTTCGTTCGAATTATCGTAGATTCTTAGAGTGAGCACATATGGTCGATAAATAGGCTTTATCACTGTTTTCGATTCCTTTTACAGTTCCTGTATCAGATGTTAAGTTTTGGTATGATCGTTACATCTGCTCTGATGATATGGAAAGGCTTGATGGTTGTAACAGGTAGTGAAAGTCCGATCGTGGTCGTTCTCAGGTATTTGAATACTTAACCTAATAGTTACATTTGACGCATCTTTCGCGCGAATAGTTCTAGTTTTAAATTGTAATGTTATTGATTTTCTATTAAATTTTGTACACACTGTCGATTTCTTATATATTGTTAACAATGTTTTGTTCAATGGATCATTACGTATTGGAGTGATTATACATTTCGTATTATTTAAGAATCATAAGTTGTGTGATAATATTAATAATAGAGGAACATTAAATTTTATACTTTTTGCATAATTTATAGATTTAATTTAGCGTTTCAGTATTTTAAAACATGATTTTTTATGCATGGAAATTTTAATATTATAGTGGTAGTATGGAACCAGCTTTCCATAGGGGAGATTTGTTATTTTTAACCAATTACCAAGATGAACCAGTCAGGGTAGGAGAAATTGTTGTTTTTAAAGTTGAGGGTAGAGATATTCCAATTGTACACAGAGTACTTAAACTACATGAGAAGTAAGTATCTTTTAAATATTAACGACAACAAGAATAAAGGGTAGGTATACATCGAATTATTAAAAAAAATAATTTATGTATTTTAGGGGCGATCAAAATAATACTGTTAAATTTCTAACAAAGGGTGATAATAATTCTGTTGACGATAGAGGTTTATATGCAGCTGGTCAATTATGGCTGACACATAAAGACGTTGTTGGCAGAGCAAGGGGTTTTTTGCCATATGTAGGAATGGTTACAATATGTATGAATGAATATCCCAAATTTAAATATGCAGTATTATCAGTTTTGGGATTATATGTTTTGGTACACAGAGAATAAGGGTATTTCATATGGGAAGTTATGAAATAGACTATCTGAACATTTACAAAAAAAGTGCATTGTAAATTTAAATCCTAATTCATAACTCAAATACACATGTGAAGCTATGTACAATGTGATTTTATGTCTTGTTGATTTCGTACCACTTGAAGAACCTTTTGTTATGCAAGAGGTTAATAATATAATAGTTTTGCAGAATTGTATGTATATTTACAATAGTAATAAGAAAATATTAAGGTATATGTGTAAAACAACAGTACTTTTGTACTGTATTAAAAAATAATGTTCTGCCATTATTGGCAAAATTAAATGTACAAACGTTTTTATTTTCAATTAATACTAATGTTGTTTTTCAAACATTCATTAACTCGTTTCATAAATTATTTAAAAAAATTTTCGTTAACAATATAATATATTATACAAATATCAAGAGTTTCAATATTTTATATTTGTAATCGCATTTACAGTATTTTCTAATTATAATGTAAAAATTATTATATCACTGAACAGGTAGCAAGTGTAATTAATTTACGCTTATTTTCGATATTGGGAGATCATAAAATCAATAAATATTCTGTATAAAAGATAAAAGAAAGAATAAAAAATTTGGGAAAATAAACATTAAAATGTATATATTTAAGTAAGCTCTTAATTTTTACAGCTCATAAGATTAAGCATATCTTCTCTACCTTCTTCAAAGTTGCAATATATGTATATAAAGTTTTTATTTCATGGGCACTGAATATTTTAAAAATATTGACAGTTTTGTAGATCGCTTAACATAGTATAATCAATCATCAATGAAACTTGTTTGTAGTCAACTCTTATGAAAATCTTTGTATATTAATTACGTTTATTCAATACAATGTAACTTTCGTCTCTGACTATCTCAGATTATGAAATAAATTTATAGTACACAAATTATATACGACTTTCTATTTTTAATCCTTACAGTTTCGTAGCTTTTATCATTTCAAATTAGGATAAAAATTGTTTCAGTAAGGTGAAATATATTGTTAATGTGTTATGTGTTAATAACAATATTTGAATAAAAAATTATAGAGAAATAGGTATTTAGATTGTAAAAGAATATGAAATGTATTATATATCAATCAGGTATAACGTGGTTCCACTCGAATCCACATTTCTTTTGGACTAACAATTAAACCTGGCATTTTATCTTTGAGACTATTTGGTTCATCCTCTATAAACGAGAAGTTAAAGTTTTGCATTAATACAGCGATTATCCCGAACATATTATATCTCGTAAAAGTTTCACCCATACACACACGACGCCCTAGTACAAAAAGAGATAAAACGTTATTACTGGTAATGTCGTTAAAATATGCCAAAAATGCTTTACTTACCAAATCCAAAAGAAAATGTGAGATCTTTACGCAGTTTACCATCTTCTGTAAGAAATCTTTCAGGCCTAAAATTATGGGGATCACCCCATAAATCGACGTCTGTATTTAGTCCGTCTAAATTGGTAATTACTATTGTATCCTTGGCAACATCAAAACCAGAAAGAGTGGTTCTCTTTATCGCTTTATGTAATACGCTGAATGGTGTCAGTGTTTCGTATCTGAGCGATTCCCGTATTGTTGCTTCGATATATGGTAAACTAAAACATTTTTAAGATTTTTTAGTGAAATATTTTCTGCCACATAATAATTACAGTACAAATAATGTATACTTCTTCCTGTCTTGCCACGTAATGAGTCTTCCAGTTCCAACCACTTTATCTATTTCCTCTCTTATATTTTTTATTACTTCTGGATGATGCATTATAAGCTTGATTGTGTGTAGAAGAGCACTTGGCACCGCAGATGAAGCTGGAAACATGATATCCACAAGAATCATAATAAGTTGTTTTTCGGAGAATGATTTTCCTTTAGCGTTTCCGTTTAAAACCTTTAAATATCGGTCTATTAAACCTTTATCGTCCTCATTATCTGAGTATTTTCTCTTGTCTAAATGTTCCTGTAATAATCATGATATTTTATAGTTATTTAGTATATTAAAATAATATAATTTATAAGTATAAACGTAAAATTGATATGTACCTTAATGAAATCTACCATACGATAAGTTCCTAGCATTATATTTTTATATCCAAACATATTTCCAAAATACTTTAAGAACCAAAATTGAGAAAGAGCTCCTCCAGTAGTGTCAAGTGCTCTTTGAAACATCATAGCAGATTCACAAAAATATCTCAGTTTATGATATTCTGAACGATCGAATTTTTCGCCAAACATTATATACCATATAGTATTCGCAACATATGGATACAGAATATCCGGAAATCGCGCGGAACCACTTTTTAAGATTGTCTAATAAATTCATTGAAACGTCAATTAGTAATCAATTTTTAATTTTAAAATAATTCTCATCGTGTCCTGAAGTACCTTTTCTTTGTCGTTAATGGGACCTTCTTTCAGCATGTCAATAAGAATTGCAATTTCTTCCATTGCGATCGTTTCAAATTTTTCTTGTCTTCTACCAAATCCAAAATCTCTCATATGTCGAAGAACAAATCTTCTTTGTTCTTGCCAAAATAAACCTTCGACGAAAAAGATACCTGGAATTTCATGCAATTACAAATGTGAAGCATTATTTTTGGTATTCCTCTTTCATAAACGTATCAAATTTTCTTCATGAGGAAATACCTAATGATTCTCCAAAGGATCTTGCTAAGAGAACGTCTATATTGCCCGCTCTTCCGTCAAAATCATCTTTCGTTAGTACTTCTTTAATACTGTTATAATCATTCGCAACTACAGTCACAATACCACCAAAGTGGCATGTCAAGACTTTAGATTTCAACTTATTTGCATAATACGTCACAGCTTTAAAAGGATATTTGTAATTATACCATAATAAATACCAATAAGATCCTACTATTGGCAATCGCGGAATGCCTATTATGGTAAAATATTTAAATTGTAATAAAGGAGAACGAATGCAGATAATTTAAATACGACGCACGGAATTATTTTAATCCTGTGAAACTTACATGGTGGTGTATTTGGAAGTGTACTTATACTTTTGTAGATTTTATATCCTACTAATAAAACTAGTATTATAACAAGAAATGGTGACATTCTTTCTTCAGTTCTGAATACAGAATGATCATCGATAATTATTTCTTCCCCTATTTAATATCTCCCTAATAACATACGTGCATATATATATATATATTGTTTATGCGTATTCAGATGAATCTGCATACATATCTTATCTCTTGGTACGAAGTCGAGAATTTTAATTTCTTCATAACAAAAGATGCAAAATAACTTAAAGTAAATAACTTGAAAGGAAAATTGTTTTTCACTCATCTTTCGTTTTTAGAAATAGTATTGATATAAAGATTAGACATAAGATAAACGTAATACTGATTATATATGTAAGCAAATATCAATGGGAATTATGTAAGCATCAAAAGTGTTAAAAATTACAAAGTTTACTTAGGTACCAATTTTGTGATTAAATATCCATCTTATTTATGTAATCTAATAATGTGTTTTAAATATGAGGTATAAGAGTAGTTAAAAATAAAATTTCTAATAAAAATCTCTATTTTACAATATAAAGTATCATACATTTTTCAAATTTATTAGATCACAACATAAAACATCTAAGTACATATTGTTTGTTATATTTTATCATACTATATTCTACAAAACTCTTTCTCTACAAAAAATAATCTTTTCTTTTCTTAAATAATATATTTATTTTTAGGTTCTAAAACAGATTTATATAGTTCATTCACTGAAAATACTTAGTATCACCTAAGCACACTACTTGCAAACTATTTTTTATCACTGAACGCATTCGATCGTCATTCATTACTGCACAACCTACATTTGGGGATAATTTATATAATAAACAAATACAGTCATCCAAGTTCTGCATTATTTCCTTGTCAAATACTGGAGTTTTCGTTAAATCAAAATGCAGTTTTAAAAAAGCAGTATACAGAGGTACACAGTGAGCTGCCACTCGAAGATGAAACATCAAGAGGAAAGTTTTTGCAGTCTAAAAAATTATATTTAATATGTAATAAAGGTAACATATAATAAAAGTAAAATATATGATGAAGGTATTTACCTCCAATGTTGCTTTTAATGTTTTTAGATCTGTATGATGTTCACAATACTCGGTAAGTATTCTTGTTAATCTTTCACACCACTTGGCACAACCAATATTAGTCAACAGTTGAGGTAAACTTAACATATATACACATCTTAATTCCACATTTTGTTCAAATTCCATATTATCTAGTAGAACAGCTAAAATATCATCCCTCTTTGTCCACTGTAATAATATATAACATTACAAGATTTATACTTAAATTAATACATATAAATACTAATTTTTTAAACTTACTTCAAATACATTTAATGTATTATCCCAATGTTCAATGGTAGCTAATAAAATTGTTAAGCATTTATATATCAAAATTACATATTTGGCTTCTCTTTGATGACTTAAGCATTCTAAAGCATGAAAAATTACTTTGGCATATCCGGTGTCAATGAATCCTTTTTTCTAAATATCCAAACAAAATTAGTAACCTATATTGGTGAACAACATTATACTTGAAATTATATAATATAAATTTTTACCAAGTGAGTATGTTGAATAATTTGATATAAACATTCAAGACCTAGTACAATGTTTTCTGGCACATAATCATCAATAATTATTAAAGCTGTTGGAAGCACGTCACTAATATGATTATATAAAGTTGGTTTCTAAAAAAGATAAATATAAATTATAAATTTTAACACGTAATTACTTGATCATTGTTTCTTTAATTTGGTTTACGAACCTCAATTTGATATAAAATCCATTTGTAACTTGCTACAGCTGCTGGATAAGCTTTCCAAGTATCTTTCAGTAACTTAGGCCTTAGCGTTAATAATACTGTAGTAAAGTTATCTTGTTCCGTTAAAAGTTGTGAGATGTTTTGATATCTATATAACTCCAAGATTTTGCTAGTCAAGTCTTTGGAGATGGACACAGATTCTGTTGTGTTCCAAACATTTCGTTCATGTTGTTCTCCAATGAGTAGTAACAAATTGATTGTAAAAGTTTTTACTATCGATGAATCTAATTTTATTTGCATGTGCCCTTCATGACGACAGTAAATGACATGCTGAAGCATAGATCTGATATCTTGCAAATTTCTATCTATAATTTGTCTATACCCTTTGAAGTCTTTTTCTTCGCATGGTCGACTAGTACCGTCGATTCTTTCAGGAACATAACTCACTTGTATAAGATTATTGTATTTTGCCCATAAGTCTTCCTCATAAAATTCGCCCTTAATTTTTAAAGCTTCCAATTCTTTTAAAAGACTATTCATTTTAAGTATTATACGTTAAGGAGTTCGACAAGAGATAATGATTGCTATGTTGCGAATCAACTTCTTCGCAACGATTTATTAGTTCCGTAAGTACACACAGAAAGTATCATTTTTCGAATTACCGTGAATGATAGTACTTCAGCTGAATTCCTTGTTTCATACTTTTAATCAACGAAATAATTGTTGACTCTTTTACGAATTTGGCTTCGAATGATCTGAACACTCAATCAAAAGGGAGTATATCACTTTTTATCGACCATACTTAGATATACAATAATTTGACAAAAATCTTTATTCGTATTTTACAATATTAATATCTAGTATTTCAATCGCAACGAATGTTTCTTCTACTGGCCTACCTTTGTAAATTTACGATATAATTACTGTATTTTGTAATATTGTTCGATGCCTCGAAAGTGTAATCGATACGAACCACACGAGGTCTCGAAGAATCTGTCATTTTCCCCTTCTTTTAACACTTTACCGTCAAAAGATAGTTTCCTTTCTCTTTTGTACAATCTTCCTTCTTCAATCTTATCGTTTAATATGTCTTTGCTAGTCAGTTACTATACGAGTATACCGCGATCATATTCGTGCTCCAACTTTAACCAAAATCAAGAACATTCGTGCTAACTACATGGAAATTGCAGTGTACGCCGTTACTAGTGTTTCGGTGCATCACTTGCTCATACTGAGTGTCGTGTCGCGTAACGTAAATCGTTATTTATTTTTTATCAGTTTCTGAGATTCTTGGTAATTATGAATTAAAGAAGGTGTAATAGCTGGTAGTTACGACATGGCTGAGTACCGTTAGTTCATTTTCTATTTTTTTCAAATCATTTGTTGTATCGTCGTTTCATTTTCCATGATTAATCTTTAGATTTAAGTTCCACCTCCATTTTGCATCCTACATACGGGACACCGCCCTTCAAACAATTATTACATAGTTAATAATTCCTTATTTTTTCGTCTGAACAACATAAAATTATCAAAAACACACTTAAAATACTATTCTCGTTATTCGGGAAATCTTTCGCGAATTTCTCATAAAAGTTACATAACCTCATTCTTCAAGTTGAACGAATTTTTTGACTCATAACTTTTTGTTTTACTTTCTTACTTCGATTATTGCATATAATATCATTTAAAGTATATAATAATTTCACGATGTACTCGAGAATGTCATCTACATCAAACATAAAATAAAATGTACAAATCTTCTTAAATACAATTACTCTGGTTCTCTTAAGGATCCGGTTCTTATTGTGTATCATCAGGGGTAGGCAGTGACTCTGAGGTTATGGCAGAGCTAGCAGCATTTCTCGGTCAGGAAATTCCTGAGGGAAGAAACAACCTGGCTGATAATCATATCAATCTTGAACGGGTTGCTGATTATTGTGAAGCAAATTATTTTCAAGCTGAAAACAAGAGAATAGCTTTAGAAGAAACCAAAAATTTTACTACTCAGTCATTGGCTAGTGTAGCCTATCAAATAAATACCCTTGCTTATAATTTTTTACAATTATTGGATTTACAAACATCTCAGCTTGCTGAGATGGAAAGCCAAATGAACCATATTGCTCAAACGGTTATGATACACAAAGAGAAAGTAGCTAGAAGAGAAATTGGAGTATTAACAGCTAATAAAATTACGGTACGCCAGTACAAAATTATTGCACCAGCAAATCCTGAAAAACCAATTAAATATGTAAGAAAGAGTATTGATTACACAATCTTGGATGATATTGGACATGGAGTACGTAGTAGTGGTACTCCAAGAAGTAAGCAACGTGGTGGAAGTCAAGGCAGTGTTCAAAGTTTAGGTGCAGCTTCCACTGGTTCTGGTTTAGGTGCTGCTATGGTAGGACCAGCTCCTACCACTAAGCCACCTACCCCTCCTCAGACAGTAAGAACTGGTAAATATAAAAATAATATATATATACACATATATCTACTTTAAAGTGACATTGGATTATTTAATATGAATTTCCTATTTTACCTCTAGGAACATTGAGCAAAGGGTCCCGAGAATACAGAACACCACCTGCAGTTGCTCCACCTCAAGTTCCTAGTCACTATGCTCCTAATTATCCACTAGGTCATCCAAGAAGAGAACGTGGTCCTGGTTATAGTACTCTACCTTTACATGCACATACCACATCTCATGCAGTACACAATACCAATCATAATACACATACAAATACTACAACCCAACATACTTCGCCACCTCAAGTGGGAACAGTTCATCCATTGCAAAGTCATCCGCAAACACCACCACCAGCTCCACCTAGCGTAACAGCAGGGTATGCCCAGGAACAACACAACAGTATGCCTCGTAAGTTCTTATTTGATAGGACTTAGATTCAACTAATAAACTATGGAATTATATAATTATCCGTTTCCATTTCTAGCGCCACCTTCGCCCTTAGTTGGCATAACTGGTAATACGTTAGATTTTACCAGTTATCACACTTTGTCAGAAAGATTGAGTCATCAAGTTAGTCGAAGTAGTGGTGCAAGTAGCCCACCATTACCACCACCACCACCACCAGAACAAGAAGAACATCCGCAATTTGGTAGACCTACACAATCTAGTGGTGCTATTATGCCTATTGTACCGGATGAGGAAGACCTCCCTGGTTGGGTGCCAAAGAATTATATCGAAAAAGGTATGTTGTGATACTTTTTAGACCGTAGAATATTTAAGTAGTATTAAGATGTAATCAAATATTACCATTTTAGTTGTTGCAATTTATGATTATTATGCTGACAAGGAGGATGAGTTGAGCTTCCAGGAAAGCTCTGTAATTTATGTACTAAAAAAGAATGATGATGGGTGGTGGGAGGGGGTCATGGATGGTATAACGGGTTTGTTCCCCGGAAATTACGTAGAACCTTGCGTTTAATAATTTGTCCAATATTGCATTTAGATATATCAAAATTGTGAATATTGGTGGTTATTCACAAAAGACTGCAAATTTAAGAGACAGATTCTCTGATTTTAATATCTTATTTAGTATTAATA